ATATATATATATATAAAACTACACATATATAATTATAAAATATTTATAGTTTATGTTACTAGAACACAACCCCTTTCACTTCTTCAAGTGCTTTCAGGTAAGTAGGGGCATTTCTCATGCAAAGGGTCTGACAAGTTTGGCTGAATGAAATACATAACATTTTCAGAGAGTTCATCTATGTTGTTTTGGAGCATCGGAGATCATCTCAGTTTGAATGATCTGAATAGGGGAGAAAAGATTTGGGGGAGGAGGCAGATGGGAGATGAGACAATGGAGTTGTGAGTCCTTTCCATGAGTAGGAGCAGCTTGGGAAAGATATGCTGGAGTGGTGGGAGTACTTGTTTACCGTAGTTAGTGTTTTTACTATTGAGTATGAGATGACACAGTTAAAGACCAATCAGATTTAGCTGAGTGGAGGCTGTGTATGGCCTGGAAAGGGAAAGTGGTGTTTAGACCCTAAAAGTGGGATAATGTGAGTGAATGGGCAGACCAAAAAGATACTCTTGGCGAAACGTAGCTTGTTTTGGTAGTCGAAAAGCATGGAAGATTCAAAGATGTACATGCATCTAGGCCTTAATGCATCTGAATTGTGTCCCTTTGATCCCTTAAAATATTATGGAAACCCCACATCCATATATGTGGAAGCTGATGATGTTTGTACATTTGGGGTGAGGAATAAATCAGTAATGTTGGGAAAAGAGTGTCTTCAGTTGCATTTGCACAGCTGTTTTTACCATGCTCCTATGAAATAACACACTGGGTGTCCCATGTACCTCTGAAATAATCTCTCTCTCTCATGGGGATCTCTTTTACAATTCAGGCCAAACATACATTTCTTTTAGTTCAGAAATGACTAATGTTACCTGACTTTCTTTCCTTTGTTTCCTTCCCTGTAGCTATTACAGTTTCTGGAGTCTGAAACAGTGCAATTAGAAGCCTTTCTGGAGTGGAAGCAACTGGAACAAGTTTATTGGCAGTGGATGGTAATGAATCAAACTGATTTTAAAGGGTATAGCTTTCCTGAATCTAACAAATAGCTGACTATTTCCAAAGTTCCCTTCCCGGAAAAATATGTGCTGCAAAACATTTGTTCAACAGCATTTTGAGGGGGCTAAAAAAAAGGCTTGTGTAAAGTAAGGTGTACTTTCTTAATTTGCCTTCATCACTCAGTTTTCTTCAGTAAGACTTACCCAGCTAAGCTGAGGAGTTGCAGGGAAGAGTAGCAAAATTTCGCACGTTAACACAAATGAAAATGCCTGATATTCATCTCTTTAATGTTTTTTTAAACATAGCAAATGTACATTTTGTTAAAATTAAATGGATCTTCAGCAGAGGGACTCTAAGCTTTATTGCAGACTTGAGAACAACTGAATTTGCAAGCAGCTGATATTGAAAACAACTTCATTCTTCCCAGCCAAATAGTGTGTTGAAATTGCTGATTTCCCCTTGAACTGTATTGAATGATCGTAAGAAAGTCAATAAACCTTCCTCTGTGCATCTTACGATTTCTCAAGTGAGTGTAAATGGTAACATCCATCTCACTTCTCTGTACAAGTTTTACCTATTTACAGTTGCTGAAGGTAATTCTTCAGGACACTACATTAACTGTATGAATTTACAAAATTTTGAGAATCACTGAGCTGACCATTAATTGCCAATATGCCCTGTATGTCTACGCTGAAAGCAAGGCAAAAGAGTGTAAAATTACCTCACCTGTCTTGAAAAATACTTCCAATCCACAGACCTGCATATCACCATTAGTTTTTTGCTTTATCTACCATCTTATGGTTCTTTGGAAAGCATCAACACTAGAACAGGCCTGGCTCCAAAGTCGTACAGGCGGAACGTAACTGCAAGCGCAATGGCTTTTCGGTCTACCCACCAAAACATTAGCCCTTGACGTATTGTACAGTGTGGGAAGTATTGTGGGTGTCAAAGTGTGTAAGCGTGTCCTAGAGTTAAGTCCTAAATAAACATCTGCAAAAAACCTGACCAGCACGTTAAATCAGGGTTGAATACAGTGGTATTTTTGTTGAACAGGCTGTATGGTGATTTTGCCGATTTTGTTTTGCTGATGATGGTTGTGTTCCCGCATGCTATAAGAGTGTGTGGGAATGAGATGTGCTTTGAGGATACACTAGTTTTGTCTTTCTGTGTAGCTCATATTTTGCATCGGTGATCTGAATAATGGGATGATGCTTGCATGGATATTCCCAGTTCTTCCGGCTGGTTGTGGGGAGTGTTAGTAACATATTCCTGATACAGCTTCCTTGCTCTGGTTCTTGAATGTTTTTATACTGATGGGAATTTAGTATCTACTGTGCAGCCCTCCTCCATATTTGCTGAGTATGTCTTATTCTGGATGCGTTGTTCCTTCTCGTTATTCTTACCTTAACTTTTATCTTGTCTGAGTTCTTTAATTATCAGACATGTTGCTCTGGCAGAACCCTGATATACTGGGCCCCGTTGTGATGCGTTCTTTTCTCTTAACTCCTTTTTTATCACATGATCTAATATCAATTTTCTGACTTTCCTGACATAGCCCCTTGCTCACCTTTTTGCTCAGATACTGCCTACCCTTCTGTCGCAGCTGAGTTCGTAGTCTTTAATGCAGAATTATTCTGTGAGCAAATAGCAGCCAGAAGATCACGCAGGCCATGGTCTGAGTTGATGACTTCATTCCATCAGTGCTTACCCAGCCCTTGCTTTAGACAGTTTCTTTTACCCTATTCTGGCGAAGAAGTGCATCTTGTAGGAATGCTGCGGGGGGAGAGAACAAGTTCCTGTTTGCCAGAAAGAAGCAAGAGGCGATTCTTCAGCAGAGTCGGCATGGATAGAGCGATACCTTCTTCAGTATTGTAAAATATGATTTTAGACGTGAAAGAGGTTGATGTACGTGAACAGCCCTAATGGGGGTATCTGACAAGGATATCTGATACCGTACGTAGAAGAAAACTTTATCATGCCTCAAAAGGGATGCTAACTTGATCTACTTCATATAATTGTAAGAACTGAAGGCAGCAGTAGCATGTCCTTTTCTGGGCAAAGGGATTACCAGTCTGCCTGCAGGTGTTCATCCCTGCCTGTCCAGAATTGTAGACTATTGTCCTCCCAGATTTTTGGCAGTAGCTCCTGAACTCATTTAATCCAGAGCAATTAGGGTTTGCTGAAACACTTTAAAGGTGAGCACTCTCCTTAACCCAGTTTGTTTCAACTGAGACCCTGCTGAGCACTTAGCCGAACAGTCACACTGGGGTAAGTGAGGCAGGGTGACCTGCGAGAGGGAGCCAGGAGGAAAGTCTGCGAGGAGACTGGGAACCTGAGTACCAGATCCCCGCTCAGCTGCGGTCAGAACAAGACGCGTGACAGCCTGCGTTCTTGGGACCAGTGAATCATGAGGTGCTGCGTTCACGGTGATGAGCATGAGGTTTGCAAGAGAGAGTGCTCTCTGGGGGTTAAGTTTAAAGAATCACAGAATGAAGAACTAGACAAATTAATAAAAGTGAAACAACAGGGAAAATTAATGCATCTCGCAAGTGTGGCATATCTTAAAATAGGCATAGTAAAGATTCACTGGATTGGCTTTCACAAATACAAGTGGGAAAAATTCTGGGAAGGAAGCAGATCAAATAATAAGTGAAAGAGATTACTTAATTAGGGTTTTAAAATTGCTTTGCTGCGAAGTTGCTTTGTAAAGCATTATCTTTAGTAAGAAAGAATAGGAGGAACTCTTAAGTATGAGCAATTGTTCCTGCAAGAGCAGTTTAACAAAGTATTTATTAACTTGTTACCTAAAATTAGATTGAATAAAGTATTGACTTGGAATTCTGCTATAAATATTTAAATGGGAGAGGCCTGGGCTGAAGGGATGGTAGGTGTGTGTATTATCACATTTCCTCCACAGAATTTTGTCATATATCCTCTTAAAAAAAGCAGTCTAAGTCTTGTTGTTTTCTGATTTTTGAGTGTTTGAACTGTGGCTTTAATAAGAGTATGTGTTATTTGGAATTATATTTCTAAGAGTGTTTTTTTTTTTTTCCTGACCTTTAAATATTTGTTCAACAGCCATCAGTTTACAAGCTCACTTGCAGTTACTGTTTGGAAAAGTGTTCCCTTTTCCTTTGCCCCTCCCATGATTTATCTGTGCCTTTACAAACTCTGGGGAAACCTAGCCTCTTGCTCTGGTGCTGATGAACTTTGGTAGGTAATAGAGTATTCGTAATCTTGGAAAAAAAAGATTCAGAAGGGCTTTCCCACAAACTACTAATGCATCCTTCAGCATTTGCAAATGGAAGATGTAAAAGACAATGCCAGACTGGGCTTCTCAATCTTACTAGGGATCCAGCAGGTAATGATCTGAAATCGATGAGTCTTTGCGACTTCTTTGCCTGATTCAGCAGCTGAGCTTGTATGTGTCTGTAGGAAAACAGCTCTTCAGTGATCTCTAATCTTTGCACGCTCAGTTCATTTTTTTTTTCCCAAGTGCAGCAAGCTGTCAAGATTTTAGGTCTAGGTTGTCAGGTGATTTTAACGTTATAATTTTTAAAAGCAACTTTTCAGATTTGATAAAGCAGACATTACTGCTAAATATAGATACTAGCAAGTTTTCTAAAATTTGTTATTAATGATATTTCCATACCAACTTTTTAAAGTCTGAAATTGATTATTTTCAGTTATGTTATCAAAACATATTGCATAAATTTTTAAGTACCAGGAAAAAAAAGATTGTAATCCATTTTTAGAAACTTAAGGGTTTTAATTTCAAATGAATACCAGGAATGGAGAACTTCAGAAACTCTGAGGTAAAATTAAAAAAGGAGGATTGGATTTTGCTTTGTAGCCTTATATGTTCTTACTGCTACAAATAAGACTGCTACATTCGACTTGCTGTATCTTTTATCAAAAGCAGTAGGAGGTTACATAGACCATTGCTTTTGAAAGCACAGCCTCCTCCTCACCTCCTCATTTAAGAAGTGGACCAACTTGCTTTTAGGTTAATGCGCTGCAGTCAGCCTCAGGAGACGATAAATTTCAGCCACCAAGAATTCATGATCAGTTCCCATTAATAGGATTTTGTGAAAGCTTCAGTTACATTTTAGTCTGCTTTATTTTTTGTGAAAACCTATGAGGAAAAGACAACGTCTAATGCATGTGGAAATATATGCCTCTGCCTTATGCTAATCTTATCCCTGTGTCAGGGGTACAGGGACCTGTTCCCCATTACTGTCCCGACCCCCTTTCCTCCTGCTTTCCCCTATTTTTCTGTATTTTCTTTCTCAATGTTCTTCACTGTGCGGCTATCCTTTTGCTTCTGCACAGTCACATATGCTACACCAGATGCAGAGAAGCAAACTGAAAAGGGAAGATGAAGCGGACTCCATGAAATCAGCAAGGGACTTCATTACCACTCCTTTATTTTCTGTAGGAGGCATTCATCTGCTACTTTCAGTGACAGGCTGTGGCTCAAGTCCCCGACTTAAAAGGGCAAGTATATTGGCTCTTAAATGTAATCTTAATCGTAACATTTAAAGGTAGACAAACCAATTGCCTTAGGCCAGAGTTGGACATAACTACAGCAACCAGAGTGAGTGCAGTAATTCTGATAAATTAACAAAATACTACTTTAAGATTTTCTCTCTTAATGAATTTCAAATGAAAAGAAAGCTCTGTGTAATTTTGATTGCTCTTCGAGAACTAAGAAACTCTCTTAATTATGTAATGAAAGTATATTACTATTTTATTTATTCTTTTCTCCTTGTCTTCAGACCCAGCTGTGGCTTTGTTTTTTTTGTCCCTTCTGTACTGCCCTCCTGTCCTTTGCACCTAGACAGGATGTACATGGGAGTGAGTCTGTTATTTCCATGCAGCCCGTTAGACTGTGTATGTCCAGAACACGTCTGCATTATCACAAGCCATGTCAGTGGTCAGCACTAAGCTGCTTGTCTCAGCAGTGATTTGTGACAGTTTGCAATGCTGACACTGTCTGAGAAAGGAGGTTTTATAACGTGTCTTTTGCCATTTAACTACCTTAACAAGTTTTTCCTCATAATCAACCTTAAAGCTCCTTGCTGTGAATTCAGTCAGAGTTTTTAACCGACCTGCAGAGAAAAGAAAGCGAGACAAAAATCGATTCCCATCCTCTTTAAAGCAACCTTTTATAAAATTGAAGCTTGTTGGCGTGTCACTCGCTGCCTTCCCAGTCCTTGTTTTTAGTCTGAACAAAAGCTATTCTCTTAGTGTCCCCTTATAGGTCATTCCTTCAAACTTCTGGTGGTTATTGCTGCTCCCATATGGGATCTTCTCTCCAGTTGGTCTTGTGTTTAAGTTCAGGTGCCTCACCCGTACTTCAGTGTTACAGTCAGCTCTCTTTGATTATACAGAGACTTGAGTTTATACCTCCTAAAATGATACTTGAGGTTTTTTTTAACAGCATCACATCGGTGACTTCTGTCTGTTTTTCCGACATCTCTTCCAGCAGTGTTGTTGCTGAGCCAGTAATATGCATTTGATTTTTCTTCACCCATGTGTAGACCTTGCTGCACAACTCTGCTGAATTTCTTCTTGCTGCTTTCATATTACTTCTCCAATTTATGAAGATAATTTTGAATTCTAGCCATGCTCTTAGAAGCGGTTGCCACCTCTCTTATTTGATGTCTCTGCAGATTTTGTTATAAAAATGGAAATAAATATTTAATACTATTTGAGTGAGGTGGCATGAGTCCTTTAGTTATGCTCTCCTGGCTCGAAAACAGAGCGTCTCTTCCGACTGTGTGCACCACAGAGCATAGATACCTGTATTTCAAGGACTGAGGACTCTGAACTTATTTGGTATTTGTGAGTATTTCAAATAACTCTTGGTGTCTCTGAAACCAGCTGCAGAATTAATTATAGAACCAGTTACATGATCCAGGGTCAAACAGAGATGACAGAGCTGCTGCCCAGCAGTACTGGGACCTTATAGGAGTTCCTCGTTTTGTAGAGTTTTACATGGAAACAGGTCGTCCTGTGGGTGTTATAACTTAACTTTGTCCGCATGCCAGATGGGTTTCTTCTGAATAGCTTAAGCGCATATCTTCGTGCTGGTCATCCTTTTGTTACAAGAAGCCATAAAGGTGCGTCCGGCCTCAGTGTGAGTGGAAGGGGCATATCTAGAGCCTCTGCAGTACTGATGATCTCTGTGTCCCGTGAATGTCACGCACGCGTTAGTAAAAGCAGTGGAGAGTAGCTCACAGTATGCAGTGCTTCCTAAAATAAGATAGGTTAGCAACATATTTTTCTGTTAACCTAGAAATACATTAGAGTTAACTAAGGAGGTTGTCTGTTAAAATAACTTTGACATTGTGGAGCAACTGTATCCGGAAATGGCAGCAGTGCGTTCCCAGTTATAAATTACTGGGAGGATAAGGAGGGAAAAAGGGAAACCCTTTTTGTTCGTGCTAAAAAGTTAGTAACTTTCATTGTTTTTTCCTTTAGGAAACTGTGTTGGATGATATGGCTGAAGAGGGATATATGTGCAAGTCCCAGGATGCTCATACAAAGAAAAGCAAAAAAATCCAGAGATCTAATGATTGTCCATGACCAACTGCAGGAGCTTGTAACTCATCGTAAGTCCATGTGGTACGAGAAGGTAAGGTTTGTGTGGCTCTCCTGATCACAGGAGCCTTTTCAGATCCTATGTTTCTCGATTCTGTTGCAATAGCCCATCCTAGGGCAACCTCACTGTTGCTACCGTGCGTCAACCTTGCTACAGTCTTGATGTCAATCTACCGTTACTTGTCCGTTTATACCCAGAGCATGCCAGGTGCTCTTTCAAACACAAGGCAGGCATCTGTACCAGAGAGGCAGCATTCTGAAACAAAGTAAGTGTTCCTACATTTGGAAGGGAAGATATCAAAGGATAGGGGTTGCAGCAGAGAACAGAGGAGGAGGAAATCATGGCAGCCCCCAGGGGGGACAGAGGCAGCAGGTTGGAGGTATCAGTAGTGCATAGAGTGAGAAAAAATAAAGAGTAATAGTCGCAGGAGAAGGAGGAAGGGAGAGGCCAGAGCTTGTCACCTTTCACTGGCTGAGTAGTCTTTGAAATGACTGACAGGGAGAAGAGTAAGAAGGGAGCTGAAACCTGCAACGTGAGAGAAGGGACTTGAGTGCAAGATGTGCGAGGCAGAGGCTGGCTGAGGAAAAGCAGGTGCTGTGAAAGAAGCGTACATGGCATTCACTGGCATAGGGTTGGGGAGATACAGGCAAAGAGCTGGAGGGGGTAGCGGGGGATAGTAAAGGAACTGTGATGTAGATGTAGGAGGTGAGTCTGGCATCAGGAGAAGATCTAATGAAGATGCAGGCATAAAAACTAGTAGATTTTTTTCATGCCTCTAGGGGAAAGAAGAGTACTAGAGAGTCTCTGGAACCAGTGGATGATCAAGGGGTGAAAGGAACAGTTGGGGCAGACAGAGCAGGAACAAAAAGATCTCTGCATCAATATTTTGTGTCTGTGTTTTTTCAGGAGAGTAAATTTTTCTTTGAGCGTGTCTTAGATTGAAGTGTTGATAGATAGAAACATAGATCAGTTGAACAAGTGAACGATAGGTTGTCAGATGAGCAGGCATTTGCCCAAGAGTTCTAAAGGGTCTGGCATGGAAAAAGTACGTGAGCTGATTACTCTCTCTTCCAGTGTAAGAATAAGGAACAAGCTGGAAGAAGTTTCAGACAGGCAAAATGAGCTGCTGCTTCACAAAGTATGCAGAACTTCTTCCCAGAGGACACTGTGGGTGTAAACAGTTTACATGGGTTCAAAATCTGTTGGACAAATTCTTGGAAGAAAAAAATCCATCAAGAACTATTAAATATACAGATATGAACTATAAGCTTGGGAAGTTGCAGGGGTACAAATTGTTGCAGGCTGGGGGACTATTCTCCGTGTATTTGCCTTGGTCTTGTACTGTTCTCTAGGCACTTGATGTTGGTCACTGTCAGCAATGGGATAGCGGCCTAGAAAGTTCTCTAGTGTGATCTGATTTGGCTGCTCCTATGGGAAAACTGGCATGGACACAGCAGAAAAAATGATATTTTGAATTCTAAAAATAAAATGTCCAATACATGATTTCAAAAGCAAGATATGCTCTGACTCCTTTTATACATAACAGTATAAGTGCTGTTAAATATTATGCCTAATATTAAATAATAATAATACTGTAACTTTATGCGTAAATCAGGGAATGAAATCCAAAAAGAATAACCAAGAATATCTTCATTGTGCATTAAAATGGATGCATTATTTAGATTTGAATGATGGCTGGTCCAGTTCCAGTGTTTCTGAAATTCAGTGAATGTCATTGAGCATGTAACTGTAGGAAACAAATGGAGTGTGTCTTAGTGTGTTATTAAAAGGGTAGTTTATCACAAATGCCTTTCCTTCTACATCCCACAGAACAGAATAATTTTGTAATGCTATATGACACCTTTTTTTGGAATGCCAGAGGTCAGATGACTCCCCATCAATCCTTTTTATATCAACCCTTACTTCTATCAGTAGTGCTGCTTATTTGATGCTTTTTGCCTGTAGTCTGTCTTTTTCCCCACAGTAAGGATACTTTCTGAATGCAAACCCTCTCTCAATTGTATGTTTCTACCCCCTTCAGTCTCTTTGCTGGAGAAATAAGCTTATCGAATCTTTTCTTCTATATTCTCTCTTTAGTCAAACAAAGAGAAGTTATGGTAGTAGCTAAAGCGGTCATTATCTCTCACTTCATATCTTGGGATACTGGGACATCTGGAAATTATCTTGACTCTCACGAGGATGCCCATATGAGGGGTAGAACGGTTTATTATAGCTCTTGTGCACACTAGCCTGTACTTCACAAAAATCATGTGATAATCCACAGAGTAATTATTCCTGTTGTTACGAATAGGCCTGATGCCCGTATTAGGCGACTGAGTGGAAACTGTTCCAAAGAACAGAACTGAGGACACACGATTAAATGTGATGTGTTGCAGAAGAGACAGCACAGGTTTTCCAAAGAGGAATCATGATTGGAAAGTCTGTCAGGATCCTGATTTTACATACATGTTTTTCATGAACTAATTGTCATGGCATGAGAATGAGCTCTTGGGTTTTAACGGTAGTTCTCTGGCAGTGTCAGAGGTCAAAAATAGCAAGTTGAATCCTAAGAGCTGTTAGGAAAGCAGAAGAAAACAAAACTGAAAATATCCTTTTCTCTACATGGAATGTTATATGCAGCTCTGGTCCCTGTCCTAACTCAAAAAAAAAAAAAGATGTGGTAAAACTGGAAAGGGCACAGGGAGGGGAGATGATGGTAACTGAAGCTGTGAAAGGATCTCTGTACAAGGAACGTTGAACTATATTTAGGCTCCTTTCACTGGAGCTCGCTCTTTGATTGTGTGCTGGAATGACCCTGAAATCATTTCCCATTTTAGGGATATTGACTAGACGACAACTAAATGTTGCTGTGGGAGTCGGGTAATTTGTGAAACTCTGATTAATGTGACATTTTTACTGATATCCGTTTATAGGCAATAATGTGTTTGTCGTCTTGGAGGATAGGAGGCATGTGACGTACCTGTATTGGCCAGAGGTGTGATGTGAATACTGGGTTTTCTTAGGTTTTGTTCTTTTCCGTTCGGTACAGGGCAAATACTCATTTTCTTTGGTGACGTTTTGGGGATCGTAAATGATCAAAAATTTGAACAAAGTGGCTAAGCTTTAAAAATGTTGCCCTGCTCAGAAACATTCTTAAGTGTAAAAGAAGATATCTAGTTCCAAGGGAACTTGTTGTTTTTTCTTTTCCAAGTATTTCATTTATTATTTACTCCATTTGAGAGAGGTTTTGATTTCAGACTATGTTAAACATTCAGCAACCACAGACTGGAATGCAGAAAACATTTGTCTCTGAATGATGATTTCTTTAGTTCTGGTCACATAAACGCTCGTGCCCTGTTGAGCTCTTGTCAATGCATGAGATGTTATAACTGGAGATTCTCTGTGTTCACTAGCATTTGAAAACAAATGGTGATACAATGGGTGAGCTCATACGTCAGTCTCTGAAGCATGGCCCGGAAAGAACGGATCCATTAATCTGAGCTTGAACATGCTCCCTTCACATTAAGCTGGAGTCCTCTCCAGAAATATTGACAGCTGTGGTTGCATGCTTGGCTCATATTGTGTTTTGAGTATTGAGAGTTGTGAGATTTAAGGTTACAGTCCTGCTCCATGTCCAAACTACTTAATGAGAGGAATAGTGCGTTGAAGCCTGCATGTTTTCCTTTGTGTTTGTCTTTGTGTGTATTCTTTTCTGATCAGGCAATGCTTAATGCAAAGAGCCATAGTTGTTGACTGCTGTCTGGTTTTGGTAGCTCATGAACAACTTCCCATATCTCTTCCTACATCCCTGGGTTTTTTCGAAATACTTTTTTTTCTTCCTTATATTATTTTTAAAGCATGTAAAGAATGTTTTAATAAGGGATGTGCATCAAAGATGGAAATAACAGCTGAAAGTCTCTTGATTTTCTGTAGCTCTTCAGATTTGAGAGCTTTCTCAGGCTAGGAAAGAGATATTGTGATCTCTTGTGCTTTTTTCGGGAGAGTGTCTTGGCAGTACAGCCAGCAGGAGGGAAAGTGCAGAGAGCTCAGCCATCTGCCCTAAACGAATATCGCTGGTACTACGGTCTTCTGAAGGGCAAAATTATGTATTGAGTTCCTGCTCACTGAGGATATGCTGGTACTTAAAGATCTGTAGCCAAAGTCCGTGTCTCAGTTACAGTCCCTCCTTCTGGATTCATGAAGATGCTGCAACTGCCAGCCTCCCCAACTGTTGCATGTCCGGCCCTGATGGAGGTGGGGAGTTGCAGAAGAGAAGCAGAAGAGAAGCCCTTGTGATTCTTAGGTGTTGGCGAGGGTCTGAATCTGTATGGGATCAGGATCTTCTGTTTTTCTCTTAGGTGGGGGAGAGGGGAGTTACAGAAGAGGCACTGAGTATGGTGGCAGTAGAAATCGCCTGGGACGCCTGATCAAGTGGGGATGGAAGAGATTAAAAAAGCAAACAGCATTTCACTCCACCTGAGTAGTCCTCTGGTTCACTCAGAACTTTCTGCTGCTGCCACCTCATCACGGCACACTGCTTGAGACCTTGTAAAGTCTAAGAAAGGATATCCTTTTTCTAAAGGATCTTACACTTATAAAAGATGAAATGGTTTTTGGTGCACTTTGATTTAACACTTTACTGTTTAAAGTAGAGAAGCAGCTCCAGAGGCTAATGCTGAAACATAATCCTCCCTCTTTCTGGTGTTGCTTTTGTTTTTTATTTGTTTGTTTACTAAGGTTGTGTTGAACTTTATCTGCTCAAACAGTTGCATTTCCAATGTTTTTCTATTTCTATAATGAATTGGGAGAGGGAGGATGAGGAGCTGTGAGGGAGGGAAGACCGGGTAGGTAGCTCCCTAGTAGCCATTGCCTGTGTTTAGTGACTGTGCTGTGTTGTGAGGACTTAAATGTTTTAGGGTCAGATCTAACTTGTATGAAAATAAAGGCACATCCCGTGTATGTATGTGGCTGAGTTAAATGTCTTACAAAGGCTCATTATTGTTCTCCCCTGCGGAAATGGTGGGTAGTAGTGC